TAATATACAATCAAGTTTTTAAAACTAGCAGCTGATATATCTATTGCAAGTGACATCAGAATTTCAAGTAATTGCTATAAATGTTCACTAGGATAACTGTGCATATCATATGTAATTATCTGAGTTTATCTTTAATGGCTGAAAAAACCCTCTTGTTTTTTCCAGTGGGAATGTTATTGAAAAGTTTTGTATTTAACTGCCCTGTTTGAGGTTTGATCTCTCTGATAAAATTGGTGTGAGGTTTTTACAAGGACTAGTATGCTGTAACAAAGGAGTTGAATTCCATTTGATGCTTGCTTAGCCATAGTTGTAAAATATACATGCAGGTACAACTGAGCTGAACACCCGGGTAAGTTCTGTAAATCCATGTAAGCAGCGTGCAGTTCAGCTTTGCATTTAATCTAGCAGTGAGCTTCCACTGAATATGGTCCCCTTTTCACTCCTCCAATGATGACTAATCCACCCCCCAAATTAATTAGTTTTCCATCAATTCTGCAAGCTGAAGCAGCAGCCTTGTTGCTGCATAGATAGATAAGATAGATGGATATGATGCAATAAAAGAGAATGAACAGGATGAAGCAAGCCCCCTCTCTTTCTGCAGCAGCATAAGGTTAGATCATCTTAAGTGTAACATGAAGCTAACCTTAAGTCTTGGTTGTTTGGATGGTAGCCTCATTTAAATTCCCCAAGCTAAGAACTCTACAAACACAGAATGGGAGACAGTCTCTTGAGCTGAATCTTAAAAAATGGAGACCCTGGAAACTAAAGACAGAATCCCAGACTGCCAAGCTACAGTTCTGTGGCCTGACAACCACTGGTTTATCTCATAAGCATACAGTATTTCAGAAAGCAGGTTTCCAGAGTACAGGTAGAGAAAGACAGAAGTCTTCAGGCTTTTTCATGGACTCTTTCACTGACAGTGGCAGAATCTATCAATATCCTTTTAGCACTATATAACTTTCTATCTGAGGAGAAACTAATTTCTACAAGTTCAAGAAGCAACAAAGCCATATTTCACTTACAAAACTATTTAGTAGCCTGTGCGATATGGATTGGTCTCAATTTCCTCTATTTCAAACAGTTGTTTCTTCTTTCTTGATCTCTGTGAAAGTTGGCATCTAGATCCCTCATCCAGTTACTTTATTTTTTCCAGCAAAAATTCCTATTATCTGTACTAGCAGTTACAAAAGGTTGTGTGGAATGACTAGGGTGAGAGTCTACAGATAGTCTGCATTATATAAACTGTGATTTTTTGCTCGGCTAATGAATTAAACTTGGTTTTCAGATCCCAAGACAGAAACCACTTATGGGCACACTTTATTTTAATAACATGTTTCTGTTCCTTTTCCCCAGGAGACTTGGCCCTGTCTTTGGGTTTGTCCATTCTTAAGCTGGAGAAAAGGGATTAGAAGGATGAAATCAGAGTGTGTGGCTCTGTAGTCTCTTCAGGCAAATGCTCTTGTCTGATTTGGGGTTGTAGATGGAGTGAGGGAACATCTTACAACATCGCTACAGATTGCCTGAATGATGTGTTCTTTAGAATAGATTCTACGTCCTTCCCAGAACAGGGAAAAAGTGAACAGTAGCAATAAACCATTTTATTGCTTTGTGTTCCACCCTCTGGATTTGTGTTACTGTTCTGTGATGATGCTCCTGCACATTAACCTTCTTTGCCACTCTGTCACTGCCAGGGTGTATATCCAGATAATTGTGTGCACAATTTTTGCTTTTGTCTAGGAAGACTATACCAGTGTTTTCAGTAGAAATTAACGTGGTAGCTTAAAGACATGGGGTTTTATTCATACAGAGCACAAGATTAAGTTACTCTTGCTTCCATGAAGTAGTTTGAATGTGCCGCTGAGTACTCACTACCAGAAGTTTTGCAATTGCTTATCAGTCCTCTGTGGCACATCCTCTAGAGGTTTCACACAGAGCAAAATGAAGTGTTGAAATCTTCTCTTAACTCAGAGCCTGATTTTACTGGCACTTATGCACATTTGTAAGTGCTCCTGTGACTAGTTTTAGCTGCTCATGTCAGTATAATGAAGGACACGCAAGAGTTTTAAAAGCAAGGTCATGCAGCTATATTGCCTTCATTGTTTAAGGTGACTGGCTTTCTGTAAAACTGCTCTGCCTTCAAGGTTTTTCTCATAGTCGTAGACACATGGCAGCATATTTCTTCTACATCAGTGCAAAATGCTACCATATCTGAATATTGTTTTCACATATAGTTTTGCACTGATAATATCTGGAAGATGTAAGGTAATTGAGAATAAGGCTGTATGCGTTTTCAGAGACAGGAGTGATTCCTAACTGTCCTTGTTTTAGTGGTATTTTCTTCTGATCATTCACATGCTGTTGGAGGGACAGAAAGCTAGGGCGTGTTAGGCAATAGACGGGCTTATTTCCTTCAACAGTTTAAAACTACGTCTGTCTCTAAGCTTGAATTTAGAGACAGGGTAGAGAAAGGAATTAGGTGTGGAGCCTGGCAAGGCACCTGTACTGAAGGCAGACTACAACAGCTGCGTATAGCTTAAGAAGAGGTAACTCTTTCTTTCTAGAAGCTATAAGGACCTAGAGATACAGGCCTTGTGCCTAGAGCTTCAGCATTAATTCTTACTCATTTGGCCTTTCTGGAAATGTCATGATACCAAGTTCCTTGCACAGCAATACATGTAAAGAAAACACTTTTATACCAGCATTTGAATATTGTGGTGGACTGCAGACACTAAGGAAGGTCAAAGAACAGCACTTGGGGCTACTGCCATTGCAGACAGCTTTAAGTTTAAAAACTAAGATGTATGATCAAGTTACCTTGTATCAGCTGAACCACAGTAACTATGTGTACATGTTCCTAGTCTGCTTTTAAGAAAGTACTGAGCACTTCTTGCTTGGAATTTTAGCAGTCTTGTCTTCTATTTGCATTGGACTGAGAGCATGCAGAATCAATTACACTTCCACTTAACAGAAATAATAACTTTATATACTGGGGCAACCTATTCAGATACCTGAGCTCTTCATGTAAAGACAAGATAGTGTAAGGAGAGCCATATAGAGAGGCATAGCATCTTTTATTAGACCACTTCATGTAGTTTGGGGGATATAATTTGGCCTTCAGCAGTGAATCAAGAGGCACCGATTCCTTTTTTCCTCTGGCAATCACTTACGAAATGCAGTTATTTCTCTGTTCTGCAGCTCATGGACATGGTGCTGGAGTGGAATGAGTACATTGAGCTGGTGATTATGTCATCAACAGAAGTTTCAGAGGAGCAGTGGGAGTGCTGATGGTGGACTCAGAACTATCCACACCATCTTTTTATGCTGCTTGTTAGTTGTTTTGAATGGCACCCGCTATGTAAAAGAAGGTTGAGTCTCCTTGGGACTTGCCTGCAAGACATATTTTCTGTGTTTGAGCTTTGACTTGAGAAAACACATCAGGAAACAAACTTAATAAAAACATCTAGCTGAAGATAATTGGTTGTCATCTTCTCCTGTGAGGGAGGGAGAGGTGTTTCTAAGTAGCTATAAAAGTATAAATACCATCTGTGTGCTTTATGCCTGATTTTTCTAGTTTTAAGAATAATTTTTGGATTATGTTTTGACGCACACTGTGTAGACAGACCGTATTTCTTATTCTTGGACCTGCACAGTTCCTCCATACTGTGTTTATATTACAATCAAAAGACACAGCGTGTATTCAAGCCTTTACATCAAGTTTCCTCCCTTGACTTAGTAGTCTTTTGTGCTGGGTAGCAGAGGATTGTTTAATGCTAAGAAATGCTATATTGGTTGAGGTGATTTTTTTTGAGTGCCTCACAGTTGACTCTGCTGACTTGCTTTTACCTGGGTGCTGTCTTGTTGTATCCTGGTGTCTTCTAAGAATGTGGAACGTGACTTGCTTTTAAATATGTTTTTCTTTTACATGTAGATGCACGGTATGTGTATATTCAGTGGTCACCTCATGTCCCAGTGTCAGGGGTGAAGTCTGGATATCTAGGCGGTCTTTGATTTATTAGCCTGTTCAAAACTGTAAAGATCAGTTTCTAATGAAATGAACTCTCTGATTTCAACATCTGTAGGAGAGGGCACTTTCAGGATTAAGCCCTTTATACTTTTATTCTTCAGGAGACTTCTTGATTGGGTTTGTGATGCAAAGTGTGTTAGCATCAGTAGAAAGAGTGTATTGGTTTCTGTGGGCTTTGGATGAGATTGTGAATGAACTGGCCTGATATTCACAGTGAGAGGTGCTTAGAAGTAGATGACAAATCATAAAAGCCTTGGAGGCAGAGCACTTCATAATGTGGACAGAGAATACATCTGTGGCCCCTCCCTTAGCAGAGTTTGTAAAGAAAGAACAAGTCCTTGCGATTTGTTAGAAGCAAATTTCTGCATGCCTGCATGACCCTCTACCTATGTTTTTGCTATGTTTTGAGTGGCATGTTGAACCCCCAGTCTCTGAGACTACGATGGACTGTTTCCAAATTATGTATTCAGTTAGCTCCACTGTGTGGTAGGCATGACACATTCAACAGTCTTTCACAAGTAAGTAGCAAGGATTTATGTCTTTTAGTCACAGAACTTTAAGCACTCTCTGAGATTTTAATGAAATTGGCCATTACAATTTCAGCAGAAGGCTTTTTCCGTATGGAGCAGATGGCTCCTAAGAGAGCTTAGATTATGGATTGCTCCGCTCTTCCTTAAATACTAAAAGGACTTTATGGTACATACCCTTTGGATACCTGGAAGGCTTCAGGTAGATCCTAGTTACTGTATGAAGGCAATAAGCAAAAGCCAATGGATCAATAACAACACAGGAATATGTTTCATCTGCTTTCCATGCTTCATCCCCACTCCACAGATCAGTGGCTTGATAATTAATGGATGAACATCACATCATGGTTTTTTAGAATTTCTTTTTAAGAAAAATTACGCGTAAAAGCCCTGAATGATTCTTCGTCATCTGATAGTGTTAAAACTTAGATTTTTCACTTATTTTTTAGGATTCTAGTGCATAAAGGACATAAATGATAATTCCAGAGGTCCATCTGTCCTGGAGCAGACATTGGAACTGAGCTACTTAGTGCATGTCAGGTGGTAAGTAAGACAAGGAAGATCAGATATATCATACTGTCACTTTAGTACAGATGAAAAATGAAGTCATACACTCTTTTAGAACTTGTCCTAATCTTCTTGGAGAATGAAAGGAACAAAAAAAAAAAAAAAGGGGGGGGGTGAAATTTGTTGCAGGTTGTAAATGTTTTGCAAAGGCCAGTTAGCATAGAAGGTATTTTTTCCTAGATCTTTTTGTAGTGGAGTACATCTTTTAATCTAGTTGTGGCTCTCACATCATGCAGAGTTCATTTTACCTCCATCACCTACTTGATGTCTGTGAAGTTCATTTTAACTAGGATTCCTAAGGAAGGCTTTGCTTCCTAAAAGCTCCTTAGAAAGTCCTTTTAAATACAGTCCATAGTTGTCTCAAATATGTTTTTTATGTATTTGTGGTAAGCAGTAAGTAAATTAGTTTTGTTTAATCATCAAGGAAGTGGGTGTTTTCATGTCATTCTGGACTTAGTTCTAAGCATATTCTGTCTCTTACCAGAAGGTGTTTCCCATCTGCACAATGAGGGCTCTTAGAGGTACTGGACTTTGGACTTTCAGTCATGCATCTGATATAACTAAACCTTTTTTCCTTTTTATTAGTTAGCTGAACTATTTACCTCCTGGTCACAGCCTAAATGTGCCTTAATGCTTCACTGGACCAGCCTTTCAGACAGTCTTGCAGGCTTTTGCAGTCTGTGGTTGTTTTCATGGTACAGGAGCCACTCCAGCTGATGTGGGTGTGCCTTTGGAATCAGCTCCACGCTGTGAAGGAGGCCCAGCTTGTGGAAAGAGGATGCTGAAAGCCTTTATTAGGGAGTGTTTGGAGGGCAAAAACATGTTCTGTATGCAGACAAGCTGTAAGGTGAATGGGTTCGTTCTACATTGTATGCTTCACTCCTGAAAAGCCCTTTATGAGCCGTGACCTTTTATTACATAAATAAGAATCCTGAGAAGCTTCAGGTAACCTACAGATATTTCTCCTGGGTGTTCACATTCTCTTTACGGATCAGATGTAAGTGGTCAGCTTTGGCCAGCTGATAGTCAATGCTTGGCACTCATTTGACAGCAGAAGGGATGTGCTTTCCTTTCTATAAGCTCAGAGAATCATGCTAATGTTCTTTACAGCCTTTGTGTTACATAGTCTTGTCCAGATCCTTTGAGGACAGTGTTAAACCTAGGCCAGAAAACACCAGCCTTATTTACTTTTATATTGATGTGGTGTGTAGGTGTGCCAAGTAATTGTACCTCATAATGGTAGGACATGTACAGACATGTAGTAAATGACAAACATACTTTCTGCCTCAAAGCATTTTCTCCTGATAGTTTAGCATGAGTAAAAACCTTATATTGTATGTTACTTCATCTTTATAGTCACAGACTATATTAATTTCAAAGCGAGATGTAAATGCAATTCTGTTGCTTATACAAAATAATGAATTCAGAAATCACATTGCAGAGTTTATCAAATTTAATGCTGCACTGAAATTTGTTGTAAAAATGTAGTTAAAAGTATGGAGTTAAACCATGAGTGAATTTGATTCATCCACCAACATAGAAACCATGCACACATCCTATTTTTAACTGGGTAGTTAAAAAAAAATGTTATCTATGTGCTATAAATGCCGTATATGATTCTTACGGATACTGAGTATGTTCAGAGGTCTTTCACATTTCATTTCCTATTTCCTGTCCACCAGTATGAAGGCTTTGGGGGGAAATGTGTAAATGGTTCTGGGACAGGAGTGCTTTTTTTTTTTTTTTTTTTTTTTTCCCCCCCCTGCCCCCCCTCCTCTCCTGGTTTATATGGGACTTTACTTCTTCCCCTTGTGTTTTCACTTAGTCTTTGACATTGCTGTAAGAGAAGCGTTCCTCTCTTTATTTGCTTCTCCTCATCTCCATTGAATTCCGCTTGGCCAAAATAATCGTGTGTTCATGCACATAGCCTGCAGGTTGTTCGTCAAAAAGATCTTTAATTCAGCAATGATACTGGCTTACTCTTTATATGTGGGCAACACAAAGGGAAGTTTTTCAAACAGTTTTGTTTTTATTGAAGAATAAGGCGTGGGTAGATCTGCCTTGCAGAAAAGCTTAGCCTGGGAAAACCTGATGTGGGAGGGGAGAAAGAAAAGATCAACAATCATTTATCATGTGACATCAAAGTGGAATAGTTCCAACAAAAAAACCCTGTGGTAAAGTGTTCTAGTTGAATGTGAGCTGAAGGTCATGTACTTGCCTTCGTGTTAACATAATAGCATCAGCTATTATGGAAGCATTGGTGAAGTACTGTGGAAGAAAGTCTGTTTGTATAGGCTGCCTCTGGCAAGCATGCTTGCTGGAAAGGTACCTTGAAAAGTCCTCAGCCTGAACAGACTGGTTCTGACACAGGAGGCAAAGGCAATTAGAAGGTATCAATGATACAAATTTGAGGGAAGGCTTGGGAAATAGTGTATGAAATTCAAATCTATGTCTTTAAAATTGACGGAAGGTGCTCCAGTAAGTGTTTGAAGTAAAAGTCATTGTGCAGGTGTTGTCATAGGACTGTAGACTGGCCCTTGTTTCAACTTCGGCTAAGAAAAAGGTATCATTCTGTTCAGCTGTCACAAACATGCTAATAAACTTCAATATTGCAGAAAATCCTATGTAGAGTGTGGCTGAAGGTGTCCAGTGTTCCAGTGCTGAAGTTGAGCAATCAATAAAATACATACAAAGAAAATATTGTTGTTTTCATTGCAAGGCATGTGAGCTAATGAGAAACTTCTAATGTATTGCTTGGTTAGGGTAGGTTGGGGGGCAAATGTTAAGCCAATGTTCACTTTCAAATTTTCAGAAATGCCTTTGGAAACTGTTAGGATGTGTTTGTGCTAGCCAAGGAAGAGGGATGGTGAAACCATCAAACGATGGGCTAGATTGAAAAATGGTAATTTTAAATAACCAGAAGGCTAATTATTTCACAGACCTGCCTCGTGTTAGATTTTGTGTGTGCTCACATCCAGCATAGCGCATGAAGGAAAAAGTGTGCAGAGTGAAATAAAACTGGATGGTGTTCCTAGAGGCATGAAGAGTTTTGTTGTAGCTGTGTGACACAGCCATGAGCTGCTGTGGTGCGGGTAGAAAATGGGATACAGATAAAAGAGGTCACATGAGTCTGTGGGGAAGAGCGAAAATAACGTGCTATTTTTGAAGGAGTTGGGTTGACAGTTTGAAATTGAAGTCTTTCAGTTAAATCCTTGTTAAAGCAAGTTTCTTCTGCAGTTGTACACAAAACACTGAAGAAAATGAAACTGATGAAAATCTCAGTCCCTCTCTGAAGAACATCTAAGAATCAGAGATGACGAAAATGAGGCAGTATGCAGTGCCAAGGTACACTGCATCTACAGGGAACCTGATTTCAACAAAGAGTTAAATTAAAAGTCAGTCTATTCTTTTTGACAAGTATCTATTTGGTAAATTATCATGTTCCAGTTTTAGTTTTATGGTCCTTATTGCTTTAGTACACTTCCTTTCGGGATTATATCATACACTTAGCCTTCAGGGAATTTTAAGAAAGGTATTGGTGATCTGCAGTACATGAGAGAGTAATTGTTGTTTCTAGTGGGCCAGACTGTAATCCCTGTTTCATTCGATGGTGTTTCACAAATAATCCTGATGACTTCAGGGAGATTTCTTACAAAAAGAAGAGTGAAGTAGTGAATAAGGAAGCCTTAGTCTGGCTCTATGTGGTTTATACTGCTTCTGTTTGAGAAACAAAATGCAGCAATATACTCTCCGTGGAAAGAACACTTTTCTGGGAACATAGTGGAAGGAAGAAGAGATTGTTTTCTTTACTTAATGGTTTGACAAATACATGTTGAGAGATGGTTCATTTAACATTGAGCTTTCATTACATGGACATTCCATGATTTCACTGTAGTATTTATAAACAGTAGTCAGCATTTCTAATGACTGCTTGATTCAGAAAGAGATTTGTGTTTATGAGATGTTTGTATAGTAACATGAACAGAGTTTGGCTAACCATATGCTTGCATGTGGAATGCAAACAGAACCATGAAAAAAGCCACTCTGACTTTGGCATGAAAAATCCCACCCATTTTCTTGTAAGAGTGTTTTTCTTCCTGTTCCATTACAAATCATGGAGAAGTGGCATTCACAGCACCCTAAATAAAAGCGGTGAAAATGTCAATTGCAACAATGAGGAGAATCAAAAGAAATGTAACCATGGCTTGAAAGTTTAGCATTTACCAATGGATTAAATATGTGGGTAACCTGTATTTACCATGTGTTACATGCTATATGGGTAACATGGGTAAATACTCATAGCAAAATTTTGTCTTTGTCAAGATCCTAAAGGATAAGCAATGGCATGGAAGGTAACGTTTGGAAGATGGTTTTTTTGTGTAGCATACCTTTATGAAGGGCTAGACAAGTTCATAGACATTTTTTACTAAATCCTTCTTGTACTTGACCCTTTCTCAAGCTGTACAGGTGAGTTGACTTGATGTTCTTCGTTCTTCTATCTGTGCGTAAAATGGTTTTCTTGCCTCATACCAAGTAAGGGGTATAACTGGTAAACTGGCATTTGTAACTTTGAGACTTGAACCAGTTGACACTGTCCCCCAATGTATGCTTATTCCTGTGCCAGCTCTATTAGCCCAGCATATCGATCACAATATCAAGGATATCTTTTTGTTTTATACCAAAGATAACACTGGGATTTTATGAGGCATTTAAGGAAACTGACTATTTGTTTTACACTGAAGTTCCAGTGGAAATTGGAATCCTTTAGTCACCTTTCAGGCATCCTACATGAAAACACAACAGAATCCATTTGCTGATATATCCCTTGGTCTCTGTATCACTAAGTGACCTTCTAGGACACTATGGAGAGATTGCTATTCATCATGTCATTGTAACTGAAAAACTGTGAAGCTGGCTGGTCTGTGGCAACGCTGACAGTTTGGTATTGGTGGTGTATGCATTTTCAAATTATGAAC